TCCATTTAGCATTATTTTCAAATTTAATTCAAACATTTTAAGTATAAATTATAGGCATGTTATCAGCAAAATAAAAAAAATAAAACAAAAATATCCATATGATAATAGGAATAAAAATAACAAATTCTACGTACAATAATAAAAATACAAAACTAAATTGTGTGTACATAATACACCACCAACTCTTTGTATTTACTTTCAAAATCACAACTGATTAAAATGTATATGTATTGAACCACTGAACATACTCAATCGACATACAGTAGGAATATTAGATTTTGTGATGAAACGCACCTTCAGCGCAGGCAGGTTATGAACCTCACTGCTCAGCTCCTCTATCGCGTTTTCTGATGCTATGATGCTGCTGAGGAGCTCCAGGCTGGAGCACCATAAGTCATCTGGGAGTCGAGAGAGTGCATTTTTGGACACATTGATGCTGGCGAGCTTCACACACTTGCTCAGGCCATCCGGCAGAGCGGCGATGCTGTTGCAGCTGACATTTAAAGTGTTGAGCTCGCTCAGTGCACAGATCTCCTCGGGCAAAGCCTGCAGCTGGTTGACAGACAAATCCAGGACTTTGATCGCCTTCAGTTCACCAATGCTTTTTGGGACTGAAGTGAGCTTGTTCCTGCAGAGGATCAGACTCTGTAGATGAGACAGATGTCTGATGTTCTCGTGGATCTCTTGTAAACTGGGACATTGACTGATCTCCAGGTAGTTTAGGGGCGAGAGGGAATAAAGTCGCGCGTGAAGTCCGCCGCTGCTCTGGATCTTTTTGTCAACCGCTGAACCCTGAAGCACCAGCTCACGCCTGTTCTCCTTTTCTGCCTTTTCTATTTCTGGCCAAATATTCAATGAGCTGTTTTCTTCAGCCATGCTGTCCAACGTAACCCGGTGTTCCGGTGAATTCAGTTCCCCTGTTTCCCCCTCACAGCGCCTGCGCAACTTCCCAAGTCCGCGGTTTTCCAGCGGTAGTTTTTAGTAGCAATTGGGCGTTTTTTATATATATATATATATATTGGCAACCCTCAAACTTCAGTCCTAAAGTCATGACGTCATGATTTCGCCCCGGCTAAGCAAGTCAGCTAATGGTGGTTTTGCTGTCTCTCTGCAAGTAATGTTCATTTCACCATGTTAATTTGATCATTTGTAATTAAATACGTATTAATGTACGTGACGTCCTGTTCAATCGCAACATAGAGTCAGATTTCCCTGCTAATTCTAACTTTTGCCTGTTATGAAGTGTAACACCATTCATTACAATTAGACGAAATCTGACTCTATAGCGATTGAACAGGACGTTACGTACATACATATATTTAATTACAAATTAGCTATCGAATGAACTTGGTGAAATGACCCTTGTGCTTGCGAAAAGACAGCAAAACCACTAAAACTAGTTTCGCCGGGGCGAAATCATGACGTCACGATTTTCGTTCTGAAGCTGCACATGCGCTGTGAGGGGGAAACGGGGGAACTGAATTCACCAGAACACCGGAACGTGGACGCAACCCGGAAGAGTTTAATTAGATGCCGGGTTTTCATCCATTTCCAATTAAAATGTAATTAACTTAATTAAGTGTTGGATTTGGAATTTAGGATTTTCATATTTCATATTTTAATAGTAATATTTTACACACACTGTCTTAGGGTAACTCTCCCATCTTTAACCAGAACCATTATAAAGGACTACAAGAACCAACATTCCTTTTTTCTTCGATAGAGTCTGGACTTTTGATTCACTAAAGTGACTCGAGTCTTTTGAATCCGTTCATCTAAAAGATTCTTTCACTGATTCTTTCTTTAGCTTTCGTCGTGGGCCAGTAGGTGGCGAAATAGAAATTAAGATATATAATATATTTATTCAATTTGTATAACATACACATATAAAAATAAATATAGAAAATAAATTAAAAGAATATAATCAATATAATTAAAATAAATATAAAATTCAACATGTGATGGAAGGTTATAAAATGTTTTTCTTAATTTCTCGTCCCACTGTGCAACTACAAACAGAAACAACAAAGAATTGTGGGCATGCACACTTATATGAAACAGAATATAATAAACTATTAAGAAATTTGTGAATTAAATAGAAAAAAGAATATAGAATATATTATGGGAAATATAAATATTTTAAAATAGTTTAGAACGCTGCATGGGAGACTTCAACTTCAACCAGGACAGACTTAAGTAAACAAAAGTACTGTACATAGAAGTGAACAAGACTCAGTATACGGAAATGAACGAAAATGATTCGTTCACCTAAAAGATTCATTCAAAACACCGGATTCTTTCAAGAACGAACGAAAAACTCGCGCATGCGCACACGATTCAGTAGTCAAACGGTGGTTATGGAGATAAACGTAGGCAACTGCTGTATCTGGGTAAACAACTTATTTATCGTAATTGTATCTGCCAAATAGTGAATATTAGTACTACTCTAAGAATGAGTGATTCTGAGCGTTATCTGATTAACGTGTGGTATGTGATTAAAATCCTTATTGCTGTATTGGAGGAGTTGTAACAGTAATGTTACTGTTTAGTTAGCCGGATTGCACGCTAACGCTAAATACTGTACATATAATAGTTATGACTAAGGTTCTTTATAATACGCAGCAAACCTCTGAATACATGTGCAATGTTTAAGTGCAGACTTAACGTTGACTCAAATTACAGTGTTACAACAAGTAGCTACCTATGATTTAAATAGATACACCTTGCATTGCTGCTGTTTAATTAATTGTTCATTTGAATACGTATTTTTTATGTTATTCTACATTATTCTACTTTGATTCTAGAGATATTTATGTACTCTAAGCATACATCATAAACAACATATTACTCTCATGTAAGGGAATGTTGCCAAATTACAGGTTCTTTCTGTATAATTTATGTTAGAGTGCTGGTACTTTGTGAAATTAAACATTGTGCATTGTTCATATCCCATATCCATCAGAGTTCAGGTACGGGATGCTTCATAAGATAGGCTTCACTGTGATCAGCTGGTCTGATCATGAAGGAAACTACAGTGCCAAAAAGCTGATGGTCCACGCGCCCACCGTCAATGGCTGGAGATCCACCAGGTTAATTTTATAATATTTACGCTAGAATGTACAGTGGTGTAAAAAAGTTTTTGCCCCCTTCCTGGTTTTTTTTATTTTTTGCATATGTCACGCTTAAAAGATTCAGATCAAACTAATTTCGAGGTTTACCATACTGTGTTTCCATGTGTCCCGGCGTGACGAGACTAGTGTTGCCAGATTGGGTGGGTTTGAATTTGATTGTGCGACAATGTGCGGGTAAAAATTGGCTTGGGCGGGTGGACAAAATTTGGGCTGGTTTGGGGTCAGTTTGGCGGGTTTCAAACATATAAATTGCATAGGCTAATTGTTTAACAAACAAGCCCAAGTATGAATGTACTGCATCAAATCAGTCATCACAACGTTACTAAACACACACACACACTGCAGAGGCGCTGGTGCTGATGTAAACATCGACAGCCGCACTTATCACGAGGGCTCAGCAGACAGACGTTATGATTCATGAGTGACAGGTTTTTAGCGTGATAAGTTATAACGTATCTGATTTTGAATGTAGTATGACTGTATATTCAAGTAATCACAATGCCTTAATAAAAGTTAAGAGTGGGAGAGTGACTCAACTCTCAAAATGTGAATTATTGTGGAGTGAGATGACACGAAGGCTCTATCACTGCAACTCCGAAATCAGAGCACATTTGAATTAATTATGCAATGTGTAATATTTACAACGATCTATTGACATAAATGCAATATAATATACATAACTATGTTTTCAGATGTGTATAAAGACCTTACTTAATTAACCATTATGTTTTTATTACCCTAGATTGAGCAATTTCTATCTACATACACCTGGGGTCCCCTTACATGGAAGTTGCTACCATGTTTCTACAGTAGCCCTAAACGGACAAACTGCTCTACAGAGCGCATTTCGTCACTTTGTTGTTCTTGCAAATAGTGTTGCTTTCGTCAACGAAAATTATGACTAAATATCGTTGTCAACGAACCTTTATCACGTGACGAACAACTCTCAAAACGTGAATTATTGTGGAGTGAGATGACAAGAAGGCTGACATGGAGGAAAGACGAAATCAGAGCACATTTGAATTAAAGGTGCAATGTGTAATATTTACAACGATCTATTGACATAAATGCAATATAATATACATAACTATGTTTTCAGATGTGTATAAAGACCTTACTTAATTAACCATTATGTTTTTATTACCCTAGATTGAGCAATTTCTATCTACATACACCTGGGGTCCCCTTACATGGAAGTTGCTACCATGTTTCTACAGTAGCCCTAAACGGACAAACTGCTCTACAGAGCGCATTTCGTCACTTTGTTGTTCTTGCGAATAAAACACTGACACAATGATGAACAAGTACATTAACATTCGCAATAACATCGATTTATTGAATGATTAAGTAAATATAATTCCTTAATTTTCCTTTGTAAAGAAATCTCATTGCTCTCTGCTGTCTTTACCGACAACATCTTTACCTGTGTAGGCCACCATAGGTTCTCTAAAGGGAGGGGTGAGCTGGGGACTGAGACGTTGGTTGCAATTCGCAACCTCACCGCTAGATGCCGCTAAAATTTACACACTGCACCTTTAATTAATCAAAACCGAAACTAAATATCTGGGTTTTTACAATCCTGTCTTTTGTCTTTTAAACGGTCTAGATTGATAAATCCTTGAAAACTGCTAGACATTATTAGTTTTGACTGTGCAAAGTTCTGTATTATGTTCTACAATATGAACTTAGGCTTCCTCTAGTTCTGTGTAAAATTATAGAGCGACACGAAGGTAAGCGCATTATTGTTTTTTTATTTTATTTTTTTAAATTGTCGGATTATAATTCAGTATGTAGGCTATCAATGAATGACACCGTTTTGTGAGCTTTTGGGCTGGAAATCGTCCGTCAAATCTGGCAACACTGGATGAGACAAAACCAATAAAACCCATTACAAACGAGGCATTTGTTGCATCCAGTGGGGACATAATTAGTAATTATAATGACTTCTACTGTGTTTTTACTTCTACTGTGTCCTCTTTTGAAAGGCCAAACAAAGTAGTTTCGCTTTCACAACGAAACACACAGCGGCTTGAGTGAGCGGCGCCCGGCGGGCTTGAGTGAGCGGAGGCCGGCGGATTCGATGAAGGAGGCTTGTGGCAACCACATGTGACGACCCCGGGCTGGACTCCGCTTCGTCCACGGTGAA